CTCTGTATCTATGTATCTATGTATCTATGTATCTATGTATCTATGTATCTATGTATCTATGTATGTATGTATGTATGTATGTACGTATGTGTGCGTGTGTCTTTGTTAAACTGTCAATATGAAAAATGCGATCTTCTTGTTTGTGGTATCCTGGGCGATCGTGGGTTCGGTGGTGGGGTTTGACCTGCCTTCTCCCACCACGAGCCCTCCCAAAACCCCAGGCCCAGAACCTCATTTCCAAACCGAAGCCTTGAAGCACGAGAGCCTGAGCCTAGCAACGGTGACGCGCCGCCTGCAGGCCTAAACCAGCCCCAACCCCGAAGGCCCTTTCGGTACGGTACGTGCACCTCACCCGGACGATATGCATTGACCTCAGACAGAGACCCAGGTGCGTAAACTGGAGTTCTGAGCACAAACTTTTTGCGCTACGGGTTCGTCATGGAAGGATACGTTGGGATGAGGGTTTCGGATCATGCCCTTTCTGGCACCTCGACGGTGCTTTGTTGGAAATCGGGTGAAGGCTTCTCCGATTCGGAGTCCGGGGACCGGGCGATGAGCTGGTCGAAGGCCCTCGGCTTTGTGAAGAAGCCGCGGAGTCTTCGGATCCTCGCGAAACGCTGTGTTTGCGTAGAGTACAATCTGCCTTGCGACCTAGTCTTAGTGCTCGACATGACGGCTTGGGCTTGGAGCTGTGGGTCCTCCGCACGATGGCATAGGCCCAAGGAGGAACGTCGCTGCCGAAGCGCATGGACTGATTCAATAGCTGGCCCTCTTGGGAGGTCATCAAACCATCCGCCAGCTTCTTCAACCTCCGCTGCAGTGCAGAGCCCAGAGCGCCTCGGGCGATTGTCAGGCCTGGAACGTAATCATTGTGCTCCACGAGTGCACTGCTGCGCCCTCCTAACTGCCCGCAGTCGTGACTATGAGGAGAGCTCAGAGGGCCGATGGAGAGAAGACCATGCTGATGCCACCGTGGCAGTGCTGCCCTGACCTGGCGCTCCCGGCGCCAGACCAGACGAAAGAAGCCGTGCCCGTGCCCGCCGTGCCAGTCAGGCGACTTCGAGCCTGGCACGGCCAAGAGCTTCCGGTGTGCAGCCACGGCCAGGCGTGCACGCCGCGAGGGTGGCAGGGGAGACGTCGACACCGGTTGCAGGCCTTCCTTGCAGCGGCTGCGCTTTTTGCGCGGCCTCAGGGCTCGGCCACGTGGCGGGAGGTTTGCCTGTGCAAGAGTGCGCTTGGCCAGGCGACCTGAGGCCTCGTCCTCGGGCCAAGTCCTTTGAGGCCCGGCTCCGAAGAATCGCTGAGACAACCCGCGGCCCCAGCCCAAAACAAGGCCCTCTGGGCCCAGGAGCCGGGAATCCTCGGCGGCACTGGGATCCCGCGTGAACCAAATGTTCAAAGCCAGCCTCGCTCCGCGCAGAACCGTGCGCAGGCCGTGGCGCTCGCTGGCCCGAAAAAGCGCCGCGTTGCCCGCCCTTGGGGAGACCACTTCCCGAGACTCCCCGCTGGCACCTTCAACTTCAAAGAAGAAGTCACCGCCCTCGAAGTCCACGCCCTGGCTGCTCAACCAGATCACCACCGAGACATGCCGCTTGGAGAGGTACTCCTTGCAGTCGTCTGTGTGAACAGGCAGCGAAGAGCCAGGAAACCAGCACACAGTGGCCGTAGTCTCCGGCCAGAGGCCCCCAAACTCGTCGAAGAAGTCTTCTGCAGCATCCCGAGCAAGCTCCCGTGCACGGAGTAGGGCCGGCCAGCCCCATTTGGGGCAGGCCAGCAGGGTGCAGGCCGTACAGTTCGGGCGGTATCCTGGCACCCCGGCAACGAGGTGCAGCAGCCTCAACTCCCTACAAAGCTCTTCTGGGAGCAGCCCTTCCCTGATGCAGTGCTCGACGGAAGCAGCCCGGTCCATTCGCCACAGCTCTACAGTGCTCGACCCCCTGGCGAATCCCAGCGGTTGGCTCACGATGGCATGAAACTTTGGAAGGCAAACTGGAAGTTGGTACCCACGCAGAATCCATTTTAAGAAGGTATCGCAAGAGCATTTCGAGCCACTCGGACTTGAAGTTAAGGCTGAGGCACTACTGGCCTGAGCCCTGAAACTCTAGGAACACATCAACGCGAGCCAAGCCGAGCGATCCTGGCCTGCAGCTCGTCACACCCCAGGCCCTCGTGCTCGCAACCTGATGGCTTGTAAAAGGTTGGAGGTCTGTGACTCGGGAGCCGCGACAACGGATACAGCCCGAGCCGCGACAGAACACTCACTCCTTGCAATTTGCAATACTAGGCCCTAAGCCGCAGAAGGCAGACGGCCTTGCCAAAACGGGCGGGTCAGACCGAGAGCACGGCACCACCTCCGGTCATCGGAAGACCAGGAGACCTGAAGGAGTTTCGAGGGCTTGGTGATTTGGGGTGCAGCAGGAGTCTGGGGTCTCTTGCCCTTGGGTTTCAAGAAGGGAGCTCAGTTATGATACATAGATTTCAAGCACATTCGGTTCAGTGGTGGGGCTTCAAGGTTGAGGCTAGCAACATCCCAGAGTCCACACTCCACACCCCCTGGCCAGGACCCTCAGTCTTCCCCTGTGTCCTGCAGCGCCTCGGCGTCGCAGCGCGGCTTCTCCCGGCCTGGGCAAGGAGTGGTCCAGAGTCTGGAGTTCAGACTTGGGGTTCAAGGGTTTGCGGCCTCAGGCTTGCTATAAGGACTGGGACGACCCATTCTGGAGACTCCTACGATGTACTGCTGAAATCGGGCATGTGAGACGCTTTTTGGGCAGGAGAAATCTTGTGAGAAAATTGCCGGTATTCCATCAAAAGCCTGGCAAACCGGCATAGAAGGCGCAGGCTCGCTGTTCTCCGAAGGAGTGCAAGAACTCGACAAAACAAACGATCACACACGGTTCCAAGCTCGACGAGGCATAATTGCACAGCATAACATCGTCCGAGTCCAGCCGTCGTAACCGTAGTCATCGTCATCTTCATCATCATCATCATCTTCTTCTTCTTCATCATCATCATCATCATCATCGGCTGGAACTTTCATGCAATTATCATTCTTATCTGTCGTGCAGTATCAGTGGGAGGGATTGGCATCGCCTTCTGTGCTCTCGGCTTGTATTCCAGCTATTCTTTGCGGCTCAGGGCTAACGGTTGTATCTTCTTTGCCCAACCAGGGCCCGATCATCCGATGCCACGATGGCTGCAACACCAGTCCATGGCTTCAAAGGCCTCCGCCTCCTTCCATCCGCGGATTTAAGGACTCTGGGTTTTGCGTTGCGCACGAGGTTCGGGATACTCAGGCATACTCAGGCTTTCAGCTAAACGATGCACGGCGGCGAGTTTCGGCGACAGCACAAGCAATTTGGGATCGAGAAGAGAATAACTCGAGAGAAACTTCAGTTTATGATTAGAGTTTCGGGTAGCTGGCCAGAGCAGCTTTCCAAAGCTTCCCCATACTGAGGGCATGTGGGCACGTTGTGAACTCCATTAAGGACGTTGTAGGTACGAGGTTTCAGGCTGTTGGCTTGATGGGATGCTCAGACCGTGGCTATTGAGAAGAGCTCGTGTTCAGCACATACACGTACACGCTTTCGAGGTCACAAACTGAGGGCCAAGAAACCGTGGGCTTGCATGCAAGCTTGAGTGCCGATGTCAAGTTACAGTTTACTTACGAGCCTCCTGCGCAAGAAACTGAATCTGGAGCGAGCTAAACCCAAGTGCTTAGAACCTGGCTTCCGGGCTGCCTGCGAAGCTCAAAGTAGGATTGACATTCTTCCAGGCAGAATTTAGAGCAAGAAGAAAAGAGAGGTGCGAGAGTGAGAGCGAGTGTGAGTGTGTGACCGTGTGTGCATTGTGTGCGTGTCTGCAAGGATTCAGGTTCAGCTTTCGGATCGGTTTGATCTCAGCCGTCAGGTTGGGGAACACAGTGTATCCTGCAGTCCCCTGAGCATGCTCCCCGATGTCTCAAGCTTCTGGGGGGCTCCTGGTTGAGCAGCTCGCAGTCGTAGGACTCGCCGTCCTCGCTAGTCTCCCGTTCGAGCATCGCACTCTCCCCATCCTCGGACTCGCCGTCCTCGGATTCACTGTATTCGGACTCCCCGTCCTCCGCGCAGAGGCCCTCCTCCCGACAGCAGAAACGCCTCTTTTCCTTGGTTCCAATGGCAAAGAACTGAGAATCTGAATGAAGCAAGATTCAGAACACCTTTGACAAGAGTTCACTTAAATATCCAGCATCCTCCTCCCACATCTCGAAATCGTCGGAAGGGTCGCAGAAAAAGCTCTTGGCGGAGGCTGTCTCACAGCCGACTTCCAGCTCTCGGCAGCACCACCAGCGCTTTTCCTCACTCCAGGCCTCGACATCCGAGTTGCAATGGAAGCCCCAGGAGTCACTCGACTCTGCGCCTTTCGCGTGTCTGTGTCTCTCGTGGGCGTGTTGCGACTTCTTCGAGCTGCGAACACAGTGGCCTGAGTGGGAGAACGGATGCAAGAAGCCAAGCTTGGGCTGGTAGAAGCTCTCAAGAAAAGACTCCCCTTACAAGACCCTTAAAGTCACGTCACAAGTCATGGTCGTGCTCCCCGGGAGCCTGTCGCAGTCCATCGGCTTCGAAGCGCCACACGCCTGGCCTTCCCAAGCACCGCTGCAGCTGAGACCTTCGTCCTCGCAATAGACTTCGCAGGAGCGCCGATCCATGTGCGCCACCACCACCTGACAGAGAGCGCTGCTCCGTACACAGTGTCCTAGAGGTCCCTAGAGGTCTTCGAGGCACGGTCCTTGCAGCCCTCTGCTGCTTGGCAGTGGTGCTGAACGTCCACCAGGCTGGCGCAGGCGCCTGAGCTGCCGCGGAGGCTCTCCACTCCGCTGGTGTTTTCCACCGCGAGCCCTTGCGCAGGCGCCTAAAAGCAGGGCAGGGGTCCCCCGTTCAATCAAAGCCCTCACATCCCCCGAACGCGGCCTCAACGTAGCAGTTGGGCCTTCCGGACATGGCTCCAGGGCTTCCTTTGGCCACGGCCCGGTCATCCTGGAGGTGGCAGCCCCCGTCGGCCCAGAAGGAGAAATGCACGCAGCCACGGACGCCGGCGCAGCGCTGCTGGCACTTTTTCAGAGACCCACTGGTGCGCGACTGGCCCTTCATGTCTAAGGGGTCATAGCTGACGCCTTCGCTGAGGCACCCGCCGGCACCCCGGTGTGCAGGCTGAAGCAGACAGGAGGCAGGGCCCGAAATCACGCCGTCGCTTCCTTCGAGCTGTGCTTTTTCGTCCTGCAGATGGCAGCCACCATCCGTCCAGTAGGAGAAGTGGGCACAGCCAAAAACCTTGGCGCAGCGCCGCTGGCAGCTCAACGCCTCGGGCTCCTGGCTGCGCCCCTGCTTCGGCATGTTCAGGGGCCGAAAGGTGAGGCCCTTCTGGAAGCACAAATCCGGCCGGACGTGCGGAACGCATTCGCAGATCTTGTCCCCACCCCGATGGTGGTCGCAAGGAAGGAGCCCCTCCTCTTTGCAGCGACCATCACCCCGGCGCCAGGCACGGAGACACTGAAGACCCTGGCTGCGACAGTGATCGCGGCAGGACACCGGGTGGCGGGCCTCCATCTTGCAATGGTCTGCAGAACAGTTCTGCTCCGCGTTCCTCGGATGCAACTCAACAGCCCACTCCACCAAAAAATGCTAACAAAAGACCTGATAATCCTCAGCCCCATGAAGACCACAGAAAACCCCCAACAATCAACACAATATTGATCGGGATAGAGTGGGTACATGTAGAAGCAGGGAGTGGTGGGATTGGCAGGAAAAGAGCGGAGGGGCCAACCCGACAGCAAAAAAAAACACTCCGCCCAAGCAGCGGAACTGCCCCCGCTCTCGCACAGCTGAGGACCTCGACGTCGAAGGCCGAGACTTCCAAGGGGCGCTCCAGGCTCACCTGGGCTTGTGGCCCGTGCATTTTGGGGGAGGTAGGATCTTTGTGACTAAATGAATTTAGGCGGCTGTCAGCTTCTCAGAGGGGTTTGGGCTCTGCATCAAGGTTTGACGGCTCAACCCTCATTCTGAACCCCCAACATACCTCAACCCAAAAACCCCCAAGCTAAACGCCCGGAACCGCAAGGCTCTGCAGCCGACTGGCGCTGAAGCGCTCGGAGACCTTCGGCACTAACGGGACTAAGTAACTTTGGGGCTTTCCGCAGAAATGGGTACTGCGTGAGTTCTAGGATTGAGATGTGCGCTCTGTGAACATGAACAGGTTCAGGGTCGCCGCGGGCCGACACTGGACATAGGCTTGTGGATTTCAGTGGTTGCGCGTGCTGCGGTTCTTCGACGTGGGAATTAAGCTTCAGAATGCGATTGTAAACGAAAGCGTGTCGGAAAATCTGGGCTCCTGCACGACCCAATCCGAAACTCTGCTCGTTCTGTTGGGAATGTGAAAAAGGATTAGGGGAGGCAGCATGCAAAGCTCTGGTGCTGCAAAGATGATCACCCGAGAGCATATCCGTCACGACAGCGAATGGTCTGACGACAGCTAAACCAGGGCAACGATGGGCCAAAAAGCCAACAGGAAGGCTGCAAAAGCAACAAGCACGACAACGTGAGACAAAGGTGCTAGCACTCGGGGTCACGACATGGTCAACTGTGGCGGTAGTGGTTGTTATGAGTATGACGGATGCTATGATGTCGAAAGACATGAGCATCGCGATGAAGAGGAACAGGACGAGGTTGAGGAGGAGCCATTGTCACAAGTTGCTCACACTTTCTGCGAGAGCTTCTACACCGGGTTTTTCGGATTCAATGGAAGAGAAGCTAGAAGTAAAAAACGGACAACTGTCAAGTCATTCTTCAAACTAGCACTCCACGAAAAGCCTCTGAACCCCAAGGGCAGAAAAAGTAAGGCTTGTTTGGAACTCCGGCCTGTCCCCTCAAGACCTAGCTTAGAATTGTTGAGCCACTTTTGTCTCAATCCTCACAAATGGTTTGCACGCCCGTACCCTGACAGCAAAAGATCCACACACAATAGACGGGTTTTGGTTTAAATTTCTCTGGAGGGTAGTGATGGGTAAGGACCTCTTATTACGCGCGAGAACCCACACAGAGGTCTACAGAAAAGCAAGTGATCCAGACAACCCATATACACGGAATACAATGATGGTAGAAACTTTCTAAGCAGAACAAGCCCAACCAACGCACCCACTAATCTTTGCTTCGGCCTTTATGGACCGAATCATCAACCCAGGACGCAGACGGGTATGCAGTTCCCGTACTGGTTAGAAGCCATCACGAAGGGAGTTACCCCGAACTATCGTAGAAATATCGCCAAACAGCGCACGCAGCCCGTGCGCAGGGCCTCCGTTAAAAAAAAGCTTACAAATCCTACCCATCCTGAATCTCCGCTCTGTCCGAAGAGCTCCCACTGCTCTGAGGGAGCCGCCGGATCGCATTTCAACACGGCGCCGTGCCGGCCCTTGTTGGTGTTTCTCTTGGGCGTACGCTCTGTGACGCTTTCGGAAGGCTTCGGGGTAAGAGTTCACACTTGACAGGGCTTCGGAAATTCAGCGCCCGGAGCCTTATGGGACCCTGAGCTGATCTCCACGTCCTCACCCATGTGCAGCTCGTCGCAAGAGACGGACCTCGGGATTTCGAGTTTGGTACTTCGAAGTTGGGTTTCACTGGCCGGGAGTTCTTGTCACTTTGGTTTGAGGGGTTCTAGGCTCTGAACACGCACAGCGAAGCAACCTCCGGCCTGAAGCGCAAAACCCCACAATCTCATAGCTGGACATGACCTTCGGGCTTCCGGACCTTCCATCCCGAAGGGAGAAGCTTTCCTTGTGAAGGGTCAGCAGCTCCTGAACATGCACCTCCGGCCAAAGATAAGAGTAACAGCGCACAAGAGAGACCATATCGATGGTTTGTCAATTTGCAGGTGCCTGACATCACAACTGGCATCATCAACAACCTCACCATCACCAGAATCAGCGTCAGCACAGTCCTCATCGCATCACTACAACCAGCATCATCATTGTCGTCATCAGAATCAGAATGCAAAGAATCATCTTCGTTGACGACATCGAAAACAGCAGACCCATCATCACGATCAGCCCGGGAGAAAACACTACAAGAATTGAATGCAGCAGCATGAAACCTCAACTTCATGTCCGAGACCAGCAAGGATGTATATATGGTTGCATATATATATATATATGTATATATATATATATTTACATGTATATATATATACATATATATATACATATATATATATACACATATATATATATATATACACATATATATATACACATATATACATATACACATATACACATATAC